GGAGGTGATGCCGATGCCGCTGGAAGGCCCATACCTGTTTTGAGGCCCTTGACGGGGAAGGTGGCCTGTGCCAAGAAGTTGGGGTCACTGAACATGTCCTCCTCGTACACCACGAAGCGCAGGAAGGCGAACTCGGGGTTGTTGATGTCGAAGACGAACTGCTTGAAGAGCCACACGGGGTTGAAGCCGTTGTCGGCTGCGGGGGACAGAGGGACGGGTCACAGCCGGGTCGGCCACACGGCCATCACCCCCACGTCCCCTCCAGGGCACGGCCAGGATCGTGCCGGTGTCCCCAGAGCGGGGATATCCCCCCTCCTGTCCCTCACCCACGACATCCGTCTTGTTCTTGCTGTTGTCGTACTCGGAGCCGCAAACCTCCACCTCCACGAAGGGGCACACGATGCTCCGGCCGTTCTTGGGCAGGTGCCGGGCGCCCAGGATCTGTGGGGGGAAATGGGAAGGGGCAGCAGGGTGAGGAGGGACCTCCAGGAACAACCAGTTCCACATGGCTGAAACGCGTAACACCCACTCCAAAACGGAAGGACCGAGTCCCCGCCTCGGCGGTGGCCGCCTCGAGGTGGTCCTCGCCCACTTGCCTGCAGCTGGACCGTGATGGGCTCCACGATCTTCAGGCTGTTCTTGTCGAAGGGGTCGAAGGTCTCGTCCCTCATGATGTCGGGCTGGAGGACGTACCCGCTGCGGCCCCCCAGCATGAAGAGCGCCTGGTTCAGCTGCATGGGCTTGTCTGCGGCCGTGGGACAGAGCAGGGCTCAGCCCTGGGGCTTGGGGGCCTCCCCGAGGTCCTTGGGAGGAGGGTCCTGCCTTGGCAAACCCAGCTAGGAGACCCCAAGCCTGGTTGGAGCAGGGATGAAGCCGGGCTTTGTACGAAGTGCCCGAGGATTGTATGGAGGTGTCCCCATTGGGACGAGGGAAAAGGATGGAGAGATCATCCAAACCACCTCCTGTGTCCCCATCAGGACCAAGGTTGGAGAGATCATCCAAACCCCCCTCCTTTGTCCCCATCAAGATGAGGGCAAAGGATGGAGAGATCATCCATCTCCTTTGTCTCCATCAGGATGAGGAAAAAGGTTGGAGAAATCATTCCAACCACCTCCAACAAGACCCAGGGAAGAGCCATGGGGGATGATGATCCCATCAGGATGAGGACAGAGGTTGGAGAGCTCATCCAAACCACTTCCTGTGTCCCCATCAGGATGAGGCCCAAGGCTGGAGGGATGACCCAAACCACCTCCACCAAGACCCAGGGCAGAGCCATGGGAGATGATGATCCCATCAGGATGAGGCCCAAGGTTAGAGAGCTCACCCAAACCACCTCCAACAAGACAACCCAGGCCAGAACCACCGGAGATAAAAACTCTGAGCGCAACCCACAGGGCCGATCCCAACACCCCCCTGCCCCCCACGGATCGGGATTTACCGGGCGTCTGGAAGTTGAGGGCCACGAGTTGGCTCCCGCAGATCCACATGGGCAGTGGGTCGTAGTTGGAGGAGTCCAGGCGCTGGCCCTTGGGATAGATCCGGCTCAGCTGGCGCCGGTTGTACTGCAGGAATTTCTTGCCCTTGCTGCGGTTGGCGTATTTCTCCGCCTTGGTCTCCGGGAAGGACGACATGTCCCGGTAACACGCCTTGTCCGTGCCGATCTCTGGAATAGCCGAGGGGACCGTCAGGGGAGGACTTTGGATCCTCTTCCCGTGCTTATCCCGTCCCGGATCCCGCTCTCCCGGCTCTTACTGTCCTCATCGAACGGCACCGGGCGGCAGTAGACGACCAGCTCCGAGAGCTCCAGCGCGATCTTCTTCCTCCGCTCCATGATCTTCCCCTCCTGCATCTGCACCGGGAAAGCGGGAAAAGTTGCTCCCAGTTGCTCCCAGTGTGTGGGCCCAGCAGCTCCCAGTAACCCCCAGTAAGGTTCCGTTCACACCTGCTGTAATCCCAGTCTATCCCAGTGCAATCCCGGTGTGATCCCAGCTACTCCCAGTCACTTCCAGTATAATCCCAGTCACTCCCAGTATGATTTCAGTTGCCCCCAGCGTGGTCCCAGTTGCTCCGTGTCAACGCCATCATGATCCCAGTACGGTTCCAGTATGATCCTAGTCACTTCCAGTCTATCCCAGTATGGTTCCAGTATGATCCTAGTCACTTCCAGTCTATCCCAGTACAGTTCCAATATGACCCTAGTCATATTCCAGTCTATCCCAGTATGGCTCCAGTATGATCCCAGCCACTTCCCACCACTCCCAGTATGATCCCAGGATGATCCCAGTCACTTCCAGTCACTCCCAGTACTATGTTGTTCCCGACATGGTCCCAGTTGCTCCGTGTCAATGCCATCATGATCCCAGTACGGTTCCAGTATGATTCTAGCCATTTCCCACCACTCCCAGTACGATCCCAGTCACTCCCAGTATGATTCCAGTTGCTCCCAACACGGTCCCAGTTGCTCCCTGTCAATGCCATCATGATCCCAGTATGACCCCAGTATGATCCCAGTCACTTCCCACCACTCCCAGTATGATCCCAGTATGATTCCAGTATGATCCCAGTCACTTCCAGTCACTGCCAGTATTATTCCAGTTGCTCCCAACATGGTCCCAGTTGCTCCCTGTCAACACCATCATGATCCCAGTATTATCCTAATCACAGTCATTCCCAGTATAACCCCAGTATGATCCCAGTCTTTTCCCATCACTCCCAGTATGATCCCAATCACTTGCAATCACTCCCAGTACAATCCCAGTCACTTCCAGTCACTCCCAGTATGATCTCAGTATGATCCCAGTATGATCCTAGTCACAGTCACTCCCAGTATAATCCCAGTACAATCCCAGTCACTTGCAGTCACTCCCAGTATGATCCCAGCTGCCTCCAGCGTGGTTCCACTTGCTCCCAGTATGATCCCAGTTACTCCCAGTATGATCCCAGTTTGATCCCAGTCAATTCCAGTCACTCCCAGTATGATCCCAGTATGATCCCAGCCACTTCCAGTCACTCCCAGTATGATCCCAGTCACTTCCAGTCACTCCCAGTATGATCCCAGTTACTCCCAGTATGACCCCAGTATGATCCCAGTCACTTCCCACCACTCCCAGTATGAACCCAGTATGATCCCAGTCACTTCCAGTCACTCCCAGTATGATCCCAGTCACTCCCAGTATGATCCCAGTATGATTCCAGTCACTTCCCACCACTCCCAGTATGATCCCAGTATGATCCCAGCCACTTCCAGTCACTCCCAGTACGATCCCAGCCACTTCCAGTCACTCCCAGTACGATCCCAGTCACTCCCAGTATGATTCCAGTCACTCCCAGTATGATCCCAGTCACTTCCAGTCACTCCCAGTATGATCCCAGGATGACCCCAGTCACTTCCAGTCACTCCCAGTATGATGGCAGTACGATCCCAGCCACTTCCAGTCACTCCCAGTACGATCCCAGTCACTTCCAG